GTGCATATCTTTTCACCTTTTGCATTTCTCTCATCTAGATCATATTGTTGAGTTTAATTTCAGCTAAAATGTAGTCCTTAGACTTCATATATCTTTATACTATTAGTTTTTAAACTCAATCAAAGTACGACGGAAAACAACTAATGAGTCAACTTAAATTGTCATCATTGTATTCTGAAGCATTTGGTTTATTTGGCTTGAGTTCATTTTGAGCGTAAGATTGTTGGTGCTGGTGGTGTTTCAGGGCAACGTTTGTTGGGCTTGCTTATGGTTATGCCACAATTTTATCCTCCAGCATTGTGGTGCCCATGGCTTCTCATGCAGTGAACAATCTGATTGGAGGGATCCTATGGCGCTACACATCAAATACATCGGAGTAGATCTGGGAGCTTCCTGCCTCTTTAAAATCAAAATATTATATACACAGACACAGAAGCTGGTAGGTGGTCAATTCACTTAACTCAATCTATGTTGTTTTATTTCAACGTTTTAAGATTACCAACTCCTTGACTAGTTCTAGTTAGTATATATTCAATTCAAATTTATGTGCATAACTTGCTGTAAATGACTAAATTGAAGAGTTGGGTCGATGGGCAAGATAAAGGCTTGTATTCTGTCTTGAAATGGCTAAATTTGAGTACAATTCTTTTGAGCAATATTTTTGAACTAAAATCTTACTACCTTTGATTCTAAATATAAGATCTGATTAACAAATTTGATAAAAATTAGGGAGAATCACACCAGGGTCCCCAAGGAAAGAAAATAATTACCCGGAAGTCCCAATAATAAATGAGCAGTTATCATTTTTTATTTTAGAACTTGTTATTAAATGCTGTTTTGTTGTCATTAAAATTTTTGAGTAATTATATTCCATACTTAGGACTTCATAACAATTCTTCTTAAAAGTTAGCTGAACATCGTGAGCGCTAACGAAGGTTGAACTTGGTTGGTTTTGGGTTCTTTGTTGGCACATGTTTATATGATAATGAATTGGTTAATCGAAATTAATTAGCACAAAAAGAGATGGCAAAAAGATATCAGTACAAAAATGGCTGTATAATTTTTTTTGCCGACAAATAGCTGTATAAATTTACAGAAGTGAATACCTTGAAAAGATGTGCTATTCCCCTGGAAAGAACAGAAGTCTCATCTCCTTCAATTAATACCTCATTCATAACTCCACCGTCCCACTGTGCTTTACTAATTTTCCAACGAATCTTACTTGATAGAAGTTTTGATCTTGTTTATATGGTGTTTTAATGTATTTTATTAAGAGTAAGAAAAATCTTAAATAACAGTAAACAGAATAATAAATTTGAGGTAAAATTATAGATTTAGATCATCAACAATTTAATAAAATGACATATACTAAGGACAAAAAATATACTCATCTAGTTCTAAATATAGACATATTTTGTATACTACAAAATAAGTTTTATATTTAGGATTGGAGGAATAGTTTCCTTAAAAGTAAGTTCAGATTTAGTCCCAAAGAAAGAAGGGAAAACTAATACCCAGTCCTTTTGATTTTACCTCATTTTGAATACGATCCTTAAAAGTTTTTTTTTTTTATTAGATCTTTCAGAATTTAACACAGTTAAATCAACGTTTATAATGAGTGAGGCGGTTGATGGCTTGGTGAGATTATCTGCTTGACTTAAGTGCATGTGGGCTTCGGATCTTTCTTCCCGCGTTCTACACTGAAAAAAAGCGCTGCAGAGGGGGGGTGTATAAGCCTAGATTCAAAAATATTCATTTTTAAGTTATTTTTTTCACTGAAAAAGAAACGTTGGCTTCATTAAAGATGTAAAATATTGTAGCATTATTCAATACTTTATACTCGTTAAAAGTTTTTTTTCTGGGCTAACGCTCTTATTAAAAGTTACCAAAGTAGAGCGTTAAAGACTACGTTTCCAGGGGTGTTTGGATGATGACCCAACCATGGTTTGGGAAAATCATCCAAACACCATAAAAAAAACCAAAACCATGGTTTTGGTATAAACAAAAATTTTCTGCTTTTGGAGGGAAAAAAGAGTGTGAGAGCCTATGGGATATATGTCTTTTTTTTTTTTTTTTGGCCTAGACGGATATACCCTTCCCAATTATTCATCTCTTTCTCATTGTTTCAGATGCAATACGAGGGAGAGCCTGAGAGTATATCTCAACAATAATATGACTTTAACACCCATTAATTATTTTTTTATAAACATATTTAATCTTATATCTTATAAATATATATACACATATTAATTATTTATTAATTATATTATCTTATGTATTATTAATTATGTTGATAAAAAATATATTATTAATTTTTATTCTTTCAAATTAAAATATATCATAAAATCTATTTTTTATGTAATTATCATATTAACTTATGCTTTTTTTAGTAATTTATAGATAAAAAGTGCTTCTGATAACAGCTATCCAAACCCTCTTACTTCTCATAATCATTTTTTCATAAAATCTATTCTCCCCAGAATCTATTCTTCAAAAGCTATTTTCCAAACCATGGTTTGGTTTTATCCAAACACCCCCTTAATGGAAGATGATTTTTCAATTTTATAGAAGGACAAAATAAAAAAAAATTAAATGCTTTATGTATTAGTGAATTGAATTTATATTTTTGGACCAAGACGAGATGAGAGAAAAAAACCTACATTGTGAACCAAAATGTTTTACTCCTCCTTTTATCCGTCTTTTTCCTTCTGAAAAATGAATATGTTTGAATCTAGGCTTATGTTCAAGATTCAAGAGCTCCATCACCTCCCTCCAAGTTAATACGTTGAAAATAAACATTATAGGTAATACTTCTCCAGTCCTAAATATAAAAGCCTTCTATTAGTGTGTATAAGGGTCTTATATTTAGAACTGAAGGAGTATTTGGTTTGAAATTTGATTATATTTAAATCTATGGCCAAAAAGATATTTAAATTAGGTAAAAGTGCATATTTAATCCTTTGATTTTATATAAGAAACTTTGGTCCCTTCATTTTAAAATATATGTTTTCAGTCTTTTATTCCTAACATTATTAGTCTCAAAGGATAATTTTTTTAACAATTAGTATTATTTTAAAAATTAAACTTACTATATCAATCCATAAAATTTCAAATTCAGTCTTTTTTATTAACTACATTTAAAGTAAAAGACTAAAAAGATAATTTATGAAATTAAGATATTAAAATAAAATTTTGTATAAAAATAAAGAATTAAAAATATACTTTTACTAGTAATACTATCAAGACAAAACTTGGGATTTCTATGGAATCAGAATGCGTCATGTTTTTTCCTATTACTCGTTTATATTGATATTGAATCTAAATGCAGCATTTACTATTTTATTAAATGTTGCAATTTGTGAAGTAAAAAAAGAAATGTTTCGTTATTGAAATATCCAAATATTATTATTCACACAATCAATTTAATTATCATGCCGAACCACGTGAGCCGTTATATTTAGGTTCAACCAATTTCTCACCTTTTTGGTGAGGTGCTTCATATTCGAATGCGTCATGAAAAGTGCAATTATCCCACGTATCTGCATTTTTACCCGAAAGAAGTGAACCCGTCGCCGTTTGCTGAATTTGGTGGCTCCTAAAGCAACCTCCAATAAATGCTCCTCCATGCTTGTTCTCAGCTGTTCGCTGTTGCATAATACTTTTTTTATCTTTAATATAAGATCTAATTATTAGGTTGAATTTGATTCTAAATATAAGACTTATTTCTCATATTTATTATTTTTTTTAAATTGCTTTTATGGGTACTTCTTCACCTATAATCAAGTAGAAGAGGAAGAGATGATATTAAGGAAGATGATTATGCTGTTTTGAAAAAAACATGTGATATTTTTTATAATTAACTAACTTAATTAACTTTCTTAATCTAATCAAATTATATTTTATATTAAGAACCGGAAAAGTAGCATATATATATACTCTCTGTTTTTTTTTGGTACATATATATATATATACTCTCTTGGATCTTATATATAAGCAACATTTTTTCATAATGAGTTCGTTTGTACTTGTCTAAAAATTTAATATACTTTTTTCATTTTTATAGTCAGTTAATTATATTTTTTCTCTTTTTTTTTTATTGCGCTTACTTGTCTCCTTCCCCACTCATTCTCTTTTGGTTATCATCTTCATAAATAAAAATATGTATTTGGAAAAAGTTGCATCTCTGACATGTTTATTATTTTTAACTAATATTTTGATATCCGTGATTTGGTTATTTAATTTGTTGTTCATATGCAAAATCAATATATATACTCCATTTGATTAAAAATATAAAAAGTTTTTCAGAAAAAAATTTTAATCCAAAATATAAGAAATTGACCACATAATTAATGACAGTTTTTTATTTTTATCATTTGTTGCCAATTTTAAATGTTCCATAGGATAAAATTGTAAATTTCATCGATTTAAAATATTTAATACTCCCTCCGTTCCTTATTATAAGAGACAAATAACCGAATTACGTTGATCAAAAAAACAGTTAAAATTATTAAGAACAATCAATGTGTAAAATGTATAATTTTTTTTCCAAAAATACCCTCATTAATAAGGAGAGAGAACAATGGTAAATTATTAAAAGAAAGAGAAGTGGGAAAGAGAGAGAGTGTGAGTTGGAGACAATAAATATGGATAAAATAGGAAATCAACACAAAAAAGTAGAGACAACTTTTAAGTGTCTCTTATATATAGGAACATGCCATAAGCATCAAATGTCTCTTATAATAAGGAACGGAGGGAGTAACTTAACTAATAATATTCTTTTATCTGTGAAAAAACTTAATTAATTTCTTATATTATGAAGAGAAGTACCCGCTACCAGCTTGTACTAATTGAGTAGGATACGTATGTTGCACAGTCTGAGTAACGGCGATGATTATATATATACACACAAGCATGCATATATATATATATATATATTTATACACTCCTCCAACCTTCGATCCATCCACAGAAATAAAATCGATAAACTCATAAGGAAGAAAATGGGGTTACGTGTCCTTACATGCAGCGATTCCTTGCAGTGGCTCCTTCTCGCCATCACCACGTGCCTCGGCTTCCGCATCGTTCTGAAGCAATCTTTGTCCCTTCTCAGATGGATTTTCCAAACATTCCTCCGATCTGAAAAGGACCTCATCGGAAGCTACGGCGCCTGGGCTCTCGTCACCGGGGCCACCGACGGCATCGGCAAAGCATTCGCCTACGGACTCGCCCGCCGCGGCCTGAACCTCATTCTCGTCAGTCGAAGCTCCGACAAGCTTCAAACAGTCTCGGATGAAATCCGAGCTGATTTCCCAAGCTGTGACATCCGAACCGTCGAGATCGACTTCGCCGGCGATACCGACGGAGGAATCAGGCGACTGAAGGCGGCGATCAAGGATGTGGTGGATCTAGGGATTTTGGTGAACAACGTCGGGATCACGTATCCCGAAGCGATGTATTTTCACGAGGTGGAGGAGGAAGTGTGGATGAAGATCGTGAAGGTGAACGTGGAGGGAACAACGGCGGTGACGAAGGCGGTTGTGGACGGAATGATAAAGAGAAGAAGAGGTGCGATCGTCAACATTGGATCGGGAGCTGGGATCGTTGTGCCTTCACATCCTCTTTACGCCATTTATGCAGCTACAAAGGCGTAAGATGCTTCTCCTTCTTCTTCTTCTACTCTTTCTTCTTCGTCTTCTTCATTTCTTTGCCAGTTATGGTCCTAAACAAGCTCGCCCTTTGGACTGCAAATGATCCCTGAGCAAACAAATAGAGCATTATTTTATTTAGTATTTACGCAATTTAAATTTTATTGGCTAATTTTTTTTTTTCTAAATATTCCTGAATTTTTGAAACATTGTAAATTAGTAACCAGATTACATAGATTGGAGGGTGGGTTAAAATTGATAGAAGGTAATAAATATATAAAAATATATTTTATTTCTAAGAAATACTCATTTATTTCTTTTGGTGAAATTATGAAACGAGAGAACGTGAATGAGAGAAGTATTGAATAAGAAAATGAGATGTGTGTAAGAATAATTCATGCAAATAACATAAGAAATTGATTAGAATTTCATATATTCTTTAGGCATGTCTTATAAAGAGGACTAAATATAATCAAAAAACCATATCTTATATATAAAAAGGAAGGAGAGTATAAGTAACTTTAGTTAGAGTATACTCAAATATCTCAAAATAGAAAAGTTAGATAAATTACTTGTAAATAATCAAGATAAAATAATTTTTTAATCGGTTTAGGCTGAAGTGGTAAAAAGTTCACATCTCGAAAACTGAATATAATTACTGAGATCTTCCGATCATGATGATGAGTAATCAAAATCTCTTCAATATTATTATTATTATTGTACTTATGACTGGGGGAGGGTATAGAGTATAGACAATAGACAATAGACTACCTATAGCCTCTATGTAGGCCCAGCTTGTGCTTTTGAAAAATCATTAGCAGCTGCAAAAGTAGAATGATTTTTTTTTTTTAATTGTAGTCTCTGTCATCGATCGCAATCACATTTATGAATATAGCTACAGCGCCTATACGAGATATGGGTATAAGCCTGAGCCATTCATTTATTTTTTGAAATATATACCTTGTAACAATCATAAATTAATTTGTGTTTAGAGTTTAAACCATCCATAAAAAAAAAAAAAAAGGAATAGACTGTGATGGTTTTTCAATTATTCATGCGTAATTAATACTATATCTAATCTTTAACATAAAAATTTGTTTGACTTTTATTTTAATCTTAAAAATAAGACTCAAATCCACTTTGTCTTTTATGTTTATTTATTTTTTTCAAATTAATCCTTATAATAATAATTCTAGCCAATACACTTGATTAGCAAAGATATTTTAAAAAAGATAACATATATGTATTATAAATAACTAATTTAACTAATTTTTATAACCTACTCAAATTAATCAACTAGCTCTTATATTATGACGAGTGATATGAAGTAACTTTTTTAAGCTTTGGATGGAATGCCATCAAGGACCACACAACGCTTGTGATAATTGATCTGGTAGTTGAGGATATGTCGCCTTTGATTATAGTCATGCATTGAGAAAGAACCCAAAAAAAAGAAAGGAAAGACTCAGACGAATATAATTGATATAATTATTTTTTCCCGGAAAAAACGATATAATTAGTTATAAAGAGATCATTCTCATTACATTTTTCTTCCCTTTTTAGTTCATTACTTCTTTTTTTCCCCATTTCATTTGTAAATGAGAATCCGGCCCAGCTGATTTCTCTATTTAGACTATTGTTTATATTTTTTTTCCATTTCTATTATTTTATTTTCATCATAAATTATCTTTTTTAACAGTTCACAGTCTTAAGAAATTATTTTTTTGAAATTTAAATAATTTTATAAAAAGTTACATTATAAAATTTGTATCATTCCAGTCTAAGGTAGGAAGAAACAGAGCAGCACCTGAACCTGTTTCCAGAGAGTTCGATCGGTCGTCGGATAAAACGGTTACTAGTTGTTGTCCTAGGAACAAGGCTTTTTATTGCTTTGTTGGTGGAAAGTGATATGACTTATATCACCCTCGTAAATTGATTATATTCCATCAATACCTAGTCATATGTTTAAATTTTGCACTTTTTTTGTGGCTGCAAAAGCTATATATATATATATATATATATATATATATATGATTACTATAGGTACGTAAACCTAAACGTAAGGTGAGCATTGAATTATACATTTGCAGCTACGTGAGGCAATTTTCAAGGTCTCTCTATGCGGAATATGCACGTCATGGCATCCATGTGCAGTGTCAGGTATGTGTTCCAATAATCTTGTAGTTTGATTGGTATGATCCATGAGTTACTCGTATGTGCATTATAAAATATAAAAATTTTAGAAAAGAAAAGAAAAATTCCCGATTCACTGTGCAACATTTAGTATTTCTACCTTCATTCTCGTCCAATAAAAAAAGTCTGATCATATTTATAACTTTACGTCATTGGTATCTATTATTTTAATTGAAAAAAAGAAATCTTAAATGTTTTTTAACTCACCCATAAACATGTCTAAGTTGGAGGAGAAAATAATTATGGGCAGGTACCGCTGTACGTGGCGACGAAGATGGTGGCGAGAGTGGCGGCGATAGAGAAGACGTCGTTGTGGATAGCGTCGGCGGAGGAGTACGCGGAGGCCGGAATAAGGAGGATAGGGCATGAAGCAGAATGCAGCCCATATTGGAGTCACTCCCTTCAATGGTACTTTGCTTCCTTCCTGCCTCACTCTCTTCTTGACTCTTGGCGTCTCAATGTTGCTCTTCGCAGAAGCCCACACCTTCGTCGCCTGTAGCCTCCCCCATGCCATGTTTACCATCCTTACACACCCATACACACTTTGATTTATCCCCACGTATCTCTAAAATGAAATATAATTGGAAAAATTAATCCGCATATGCTTGACCTCTAATCAAGTCTGCATAGTTTTTGTCATTTTTATCTTATAGTTTCATCTGATTTAGGGGGTGTTTGGATGGAAACCAAATCATGGTTTTAAAAGTGCTTTTACAGTATACGAGGTAAATATGTGGAAGAATTTGTCTCGTTTTGCGGAAAAGTGCTTCTGAGAAATACTTTTAGGTGCTTCCAAACATCCTCTTACTCATTCTAATTTTATCGAGTGTCTCTGAAAGGGACTAATCATGTGTAGTCCTTTTCTTTTTCTGTTTCTATATATATATATAAATCTATCTTATAATTTTGTTTTGTGTATTTAAGTCTTTATAGTTTTCTTTTTTCTATCAGATCTATATAGTTTCACATGATAATTGATCAGTTTCATGTAGGTGATTGGTTAAAAAACACAAAGTAAACGAGATTTTGAGTTTAACTTGACTGATTCGTTTACTCAGGGTCACAGTGCTTTAGAGAGAGAGTGACTAATGTTGTGATTTAGCCATTTAGGGTATTAATATAATATAATTTCACATTAACTGGTTTTTAAAACATTAAAATTGTTAATTATTACCTTGTATATATGCACTGTGAATTTATTATCTGTGGTCCTACGTTGTGTGTGTGTGTGTGTTTACTATAATCATATAGTCATCACATATTTTTTGTTATTCTTTTTTGTGTTCCCAAATAATAATATGCCCATGACCGACGTACGTTGTGGCTGCATGGTTTTATTAATATTAGATAGATAAGCTATACCTTGAAGATGGCCAAAGAGCCAAAAAGAAAGAAAAAACAAAGAAAGAAAATAGAGAGTGTGGTTTATTTGTTATACGTCGCAAAGTTGCCTATTTCACTTAATATGTTACATTTAACTAACTCATAACTATATAAGTCAAGAAAATTTACAAAGATTAGTTGATTTTTTTTTTTTGGATCATCTGATTTTTAAGAAATGTGCATAAGGAAGGTATTATATAGAAAAACATTAGTTATTTTATCAAGAGAAAATTCTTAGGAAAAAAAACCTAAAATTATCATTTCTTCATTCAGGCACTAGGAGTTAAAAAAAAAAAACATAAAAGTAAGTGGTGTCTAATATGATATTTTACAAATGAAGTTAGATAATCAAAATTTCCTTGTAATCATATCTGGAAAAAAAGGTTATCAAACATGTCACTATTAATATATTTCTTATTATTAGTTGTTCAATATTTATCATTACGAGTTCACAACTTATTAATAAATAACTTGTCATTATCAGAATATTTATTATCATTTATTGTTCAACACTTATTATTACTACTCATAATTTGTTAATAAATTTTTTTATAGAATGACATTTTAGTTATTTAACTATACTTACAAAATATCATATCAGACACTACTTCTTTTTTTGAGATTTGGAAGAATTAGGCGTCTGATTTGAGATATCATATTTTTCAACTTTTTTATTTGTTATTTTCCCTTTTATGAAAAAAAGAAAAATAAAAGTTATCCCGTAATATTTTAAAAATATGGTAGTTTTGAAATAAGTGACAACGGGTAAGATATAGGGAGCGCATGAATTATTTTCGTTAGATAAATGATAATTGGAAAAAAAAAAGAAAAAAAAAAGAAGAACAAAGCAGCATGCGTAGATACACATGAGCTAAAGTCAACACGGAGTTGTATCAGACAGGGGTACGATGTTATTCAATGTAACAACAAACATCCATGTGCCCTTTAACCAACCTTTTTTCTTGTTGCCAACCTTTAATCAACCATATTAAATATTAATATAAAATAATAGTTAAATGATAATAGTCAAAAAGAATTTTGCCAAAAAAATGCGTTATAGCTATAGATTTGAATCGTGCCGAATATTTTTTGGTAAAAAGAAAAAATTTAATATAATTTTTGATCCATTAAATTTATTTTTATTTTAATTTAGTCCTTTAAGTTTCAAATTATAGATTTTAGTTTCTTAAGCTTATTTTCATATAAGATATTAGTTCCTATAATTTAATAAAAACTTAGACTATTTTACCTTTAGAATGACTAAAACTTATAGTTTGAAACTCAAATGACCAAAACTAAAATAAAAGCAGATTTGAATAATTATAGAATATATTAACCCCAAAAAAAAAATGAAATTTTCAATTAAGAATAATTGGAAGAAATTTATGAGACTTAAGGTCTAATTTTCAATTAAAAATTTATATTTATAATTATGTAAATTAATATTTAAAACTTATCTTTCATATTTGAAAAATGTAGGCCATGCCCGTGGGTTTTCAAGGCCTAATCCATATGGGCCGAGCTTATACGAGCTAAGCTTTCTTGGGCTGGATCGACTTTTCCTCCGCCGGCCCAGATGACTATGAATCTGAATCATTATGCAAATATCTTCTTTCTTATTCTTTTTGTTAATTACATGTGTTTAGCAAAAAATAAAAAAAAAAAATCCTCATCAATCTCTTGCAAAATTAGCAAGAAGGAATCTTGTCTCCCATTATCTTGCTGATATACTTAGAATTGGTGATATTCTCGCCAAATTGCCTTGTTTTTCAAACAAATTGTCAAGCTAAATTTATGTACAGTGATAAAATTGTAATTCCTTAATAAATTGCTCATCAAAATTCGAATCCTATTTATAAAACACAGACAAGGTATTTTTTTTTCGTTAATATAAGTTGCCTTATTAGATTTATTTAAAAAAGTAACATTTTACTTTTAATTTATTATTTTGAAAAATGTTATTTTAAAAGAAAGTAAATATATTAAAGAGGAGTAAATTTGAATTTTTTTTAAAAAATTTTAAGCCAATGTTAATAGGATTTAAGATTTAACTTAATTCTAGCAAGATACGATGAAAGTACCTTATAATTTATAAATAGCATTCATTGATTGAGCTAATAGCATAACTTTCTAATTTTACTTTTATTTAATATATCTATACTTTTTAAGAAAATAACAAGATAATAATTATGGATGAAATTATATATTTGTACAATAACTTTAATGGGATGATTTATATTAAGGAAAAAAATACTCTCTCTTTCTATAAATAAGATCAAAGGATTGGAGTACCTGGCTACTTGCAAATCCAATATAAATTTAGAGAAAATTACGCTCAGATCCCACAAAAGACAATTAATTCATAAGAAGTCTCTCGAAATCCCAAAATAACTCCCAAGTCCCCAGGGACCTGTATATAATAAATTGTAATTATAAAATTACCTATTTACCCCTATTCATTTACAATCTCAACAGCGGCTATTGACAACACTAGGAGAAGTGGTTAACAACCTCCGTAATGCCCCTGGTATTCCACAGAGTGAGTTGTCAGAGCACTGTCGAGGTTGTTAACCACTTTTCCTCGGGTTGTCAATAGCCACTATTGAGGTTGTAAATAAATTACTGCAATAAAATTAATAGGGGTAAATAGGTAATTTCATAATTTCAATTTATTACACACAGGTCCCTGGGGACTTAGGAATCATTTTGAAATTTTTAGAGACTTTTTATGAATTAATTGTCTTGTGTGGGACCTATGTGTAATTTTCCCTGAATTTTATCAATTTAAGACATATTTAGTAATTTAACCAATATTTTTTGGTTTATGAGAAAGCTTAGCTAATATTCTAAGACCCAATTAACTAATTTGAGTAGATTAAAAATGTTAATTAAATTAATTAATATGATATTTTTTTCTAAACATTTTAGTCGTCATATTTAGTTTCCCCTCTCCTTCTCCTACTTGATTATTATTGAGAGAATATTAATAGAGTTAATTCGAAAAAAAAGTGATAAACATATGAAATAAATCTTACATATAGAACTAATATTAACTCTCAAATTAACTTCTACGTATTAAGGACACTAAGGACACGTACTATCTTATTCTTTCAATTAGTGTTTGCCTTTAGCAGTACTCCTCCGTTCCTTAATATAAAGTCTATTTAACTAATTTGATTAGATGAAGAAAGTTAAGTAAGCTAGTTAATTATAAGAAATACGACATGTTTTTTTTCTAAAATATCATAATCATCTTTCTTAGTATCATCCCTTCCTCTTCTACTTAATTATGGTTGAGAGAGTATCCATAGAGATAATTTAGGAAATATTGATAAGTATAAGAAATAAGTCTTATATTTAGGATCAAAATTAACTCAATAATTAGGTTTTATATTACAGACTGAACAAGGATTAATTTGCATTGCGTGTTAAATGTTTGTTTGGGCGTCCGTTTTCATGTCCTCAAGCGAGAACACAAGCACGCTTCCGGGTTCTTGCAGTTACAAAAATGTGGTTTCAGATTTTTAAACACTGGTGTTATTAGGTAGGACTAATTAATGTGGTATGTTTTTTTGACAGTAGTGGCATTATTAAATTTGGAACATAAATATACTATTATAATTTTTATTTATTATTGAGCAAATTGTTATTTTCTTAAAAAACCTATACATTAAATAGGGATAAAACTTAAAACTTGTTAAAATTTAAGATAAAGTTATTAAAATTGAAAAAAAAAAATTTGTTCACGTGAAACGCAGTAAACATGACTCATAAATAAGATCATATAAGTATAATTAAACTATTCGGATTGTTTTTATGATTTGAAAATATGAATAAATTTTATGAACGTACTATTATTAAAGCCTAATTAAATAAAATTACATTATCAGTCCCTATAATTTCAATGGATTTTGAAATATTGCCTTTAGTTCTTAATATAAGAGCTAGTCTGATATTCAATTTGATTCTAAATATAATACCCCAATCTACTTTATTTCTCATATTTATCTATTTTTTTAAAAGTAATCCTTGTAGCAGTTTCAAATGTTGAATGTTCCATCAGTTAGTAATTTTAACTAATACACATGATTAATAATTATTATTTTAGGAAAGATAATATATATTTATTACAAATAATTAATTTAACAAACTTTTTTAATATACTCAAATCAGTCAACTAACTCTTATATTAAAGATATGAGCTAGTAGATCCTTACAATTTCTTTTCAAGAGATGGCTCCCTGCAATTTATTAGTTTTTTTTTTTTTTAGCGGACATCTTGTATTATTAATTTGCCTAAATTCAGCAAACTATGCTTTGAACACCATAAGAAAATGAAGTTACACATCTAAACATTTGTTATTGGCATTAGCCTTTTAGGCAATTGGTAGGGCTCCTAGTTGGCCCAAAGAAAACGGTACGGCTTATTAATGTGGCAATTTTGTTAACAAACCCATCAAGTGGACATTTGGGGAAATGGGTGATGGGGACCAAGAAGAATTACTAATATGACAAATTTAATTGTTAATAAATTTTTTTACTCTTAATAATTGAATTAATCATTAAAATTTAAACAAATAAATTATATAAACATAATTTAAAATGGAGGAAAATTATAAGAAATTAATAATTAATTTAAAAAATACAAGGTAAAAATATTACTACTTAAATTTTATCTTCATAACAAAAGGTAAATATGAAAATCAATAATGTTCCTTTTGAAAAGGAAAGGATCAGAATTTTACAATCGCCCTCTCATTCAGTGTGTGATTTGTTTAAGGTTTTTCTCCCAAAACAAAGAATATTATTCAAGTCATTAGATTTGCTTTAAATTCTTTCCCTTTTTTTTAGCATTTAAAATTTTCTTTTCTCCTTACAATAAATTAACTTGTTAGCCTCTTATATTTTGGAACAATTTTTTTTAAAGAGACTTCTTATATTATGGAGTCCTATGAAATTTTCAATTGTTTTCAATAATTACGTTCCTCCTTAAATTGGAAACATTAATTATATAGTTTTTTCGCATTTAAAAAACACATGTCTATATTATGGAAATGACAAATAAATTCTCTTGATTTTTTTTACATAATATTCATTTATCTGTGCCAACTTTTTTATTATATTATTAAGAAGGAAAAATGGTAAAAAAAGACCGTTAAAATAAAAAAATTATAAATCGGGACCCATGATAATATTATTATGGGCTTTGATCACAATAATATGGTTTTGATGATAATTTTTGTAAATAGGTCTTTCTGTGCAATTTTTTTATTTTAGCGGGTTTTTTTATGACTTTTTCTATTAAGAATTTTTTTTTGAATGATTCTATTAAGAATTCAAACTCTAAACTTCTGCCCATAATCATCCCATTTATTCACATGAATTTCGAAAATAAAAAGTATACTGAAATTCTTTTAAAAAATTGAAAAAATGATTTTAAAATTTTAAAGAAAGACAATAATATGGTTGTAGTTAGGTTCCCAAAATCCGTAACTGCTTCCAAACACCTGCTCTGATTGAGAAAGCTGGTCAGAGCCAAAACCAAATTCCCAGGCTTGGCGCGCCATGTGGTGTCCCATTACTCCATTAAATGCGATTCTTCAAGTCTGCATCAAATCAACTGAAACCACTCTTAATTTCGGTTGTTTTTCGCTCATCTACTTCACCTACATCGATTCCTTTCACCATAAATTCGATTCCCTTCTTCTTCGTCTTCTCCAAACTTCGCCATTATCACTACCTTTCACTCCTTCTCATGCAAAGCTTCTTCCCCATTGTTTGAACTTTTATTCACTGCTTTTTTCTCTCTGTGCCCGCCATTAGACTCGCCTCTCTTAGAATATGGAGTCCTGTTTTATCGAAAAGCTGAGAACTGATCACCCTTCCTTGTTTTTTGTGCTTTTCGCATTGGGCTCCCTTTCGCTTCTGAAGTTTTCGCTGGCTTTTGTCAGATGGGTTTATGTCAATTTTCTCAGGCCTCCCAAAAATCTAAAGAAATATGGAGCTTGGGCACTCGTTACCGGACCCACCGACGGTATCGGGAAGAGTTTTGCATTTCAGTTGGCTCGCAAAGGGCTTAATCTTGTCTTGGTGGGGAGAAATCCTGATAAGCTGAAGGGGGTGTCCGATTCGATTCTTGCCAAGTTCGGGAAAATACAGATTAAAACTGTCGTGGTTGATTTCTCTGGCGATCTTTCGGAGGGTATAATTAGGATTCGTGAGGCGATTGAAGGACTGGATGTGGGAGTGTTGATTAATAACGTGGGAATTTCGTATCCTTACGCTAGATTTTTCCATGAAGTGGATGATGAACTCTTGAAGAATCTGATTAAGGTAAATGTTGAGGGTACTACAAAGGTCACACAAACTGTTCTTCCCGGCATGCTTAAGAGGAAGAAGGGAGCAATAGTAAATATTGGCTCTGGAGCAGCCACTGTGATTCCTTCAGATCCCCTTTATTCTGTATATGCAGGCACAAAAGCGTGAGTTACTTGACTGTTTCACTCCAAGCAATAACGGCTTATTATGTTTGGTTACTTGATGGCAAAATAATATTATGTTTTGTTCCTTTTTTGATATGTTGTGTGCCGTTTGCTGAAATGAGGTGTTCTGATTGTTTCTTCAGGTACATCGATCAGTTTTCGAGATGTCTCTATGTTGAGTACAAGAAGAGTGGGATTGATGTGCAATGCCAGGTATCGTTTGTTCTCTTCTTTATGATCTTCTTTCAGACGCACATCTTGATCATGAATTTCGAGTACTTGATTGTTTCTCTTGATTTGATTCATGCATTTTGAGTACTAATTTACTGGCTACTCTTTAATGGTTTCTTTCATTGTTTAAATTTTTTATTGCTTTCAAGATCTTCATATACTTTCTTTATCCCTTCAAATAACCCCATTTAGCCAAAATTAAGAAAAACATTACCCTGTATCAGAAGTGGACTTTGTTAGAGGTTATCTTCCATCCCTGTTAGAATTTCCATAATGTGCTATAGGTGTGTTAACAATACTAAACCATTTCCTATACTTCTCTGCCTTGTATTCATTAGCAACATATTGATAAAGAGTTAATACATCCATCATAGATGTTTTCTAGCCTCAATCATTGACGATGTTGCGAACAGGAATTATCTTCAGACATGTTCTCCAATGGCAAATGATTTCAATCATAAACAAACATTTAATCACCCGTCTATATATTCCTGAGCAGACTGTGCATCATCTAATGTGATTATCTTTTATAAATTGAATCTATGTAAATGTCCTGGGATCCCATCTAGTTATTTTCCTCTCGTTTTCTCCATTTTCAAATTTTCTCTTATGATTCTATTAAGCCGTTTAGAATAACTTGTTTGAAATGATTTATAAGTAGCTTTTTAATTGTGATTCATGAAATATGACGTAAGCATTTGAGAAGAGTTTTGTTTCGATTTGCATAAAACGTGTTTATAAGTTCTTAAGATTATGATCATGATTCCCAACTGGCCTTTATATCGGTTTGGGTGTTGGTGACCTGAATATGTAAGCTGCATATGAAAGGGGCTGCTTCTTTAATTAGCTGACCATGCATGTGCAGAATAATCTGCCATGCTTCTGATACATAATTTCTGATAGAAAGATTCTGGAATACTCAGGTTCCATTATACGTGGCAACGAAGATGGCATCAATCAGGAGGTCTTCATTCTTTGTGCCATCAACAGATGGATATGCAAAAGCAGGCTTGAGGTGGATAGGATATGAACCTCGTTGCACGCCATACTGGCCTCATTCCCTTCTCTGGGCATTAACATCTTCATTGCCTGACTTCATTATTGATACTTGGCGCCTTGGTTTCTGCCTCGGTATCCGCAAGAGAGGCCAATTCAAAGACTCAAGAAAGAAGGAATGATTGATTTGAGTGTGTTCATTGTTATGATAAAGCATGTTCTTCTCCCTTTTCTCCTTTCCCTCAAGAATGATGATTAGGACATTGTATCTTTCAAATGGTAGTTATATGTTTCTGTTTTCATCTTACTGTGCTTGTGGATTGTGAGTGATCTATATGGTGGATTTGAGGAGAGATTGAAGGGAAAAAATGAGTGTAATGACAGAGTTGAGCCCCCATATAATCACATTCATCAATATCTAATTTAACAATTTATACTTGTTTATTTTTAATGTAATATTATAATAATAGTTAACCGTTCAATTTTTTAATCTTAAAGTGGAGATGGGATGATGAGGGGAAGTCCAGATTTCCATGCAAAGATCCAGGAATGGTCAAAATGGAATTTTTTGAGTTAAAAGAATTGGAATGATTGATTTCTGGCTTGACCCATTCCCTTCGCATCAATTGATAAATTTTGTATAAAGATGAATCAATAATTCAATTCTCAAATAATTTATTATTTAAAAATTAAATCCCTCAAATATAATTAAAATTCCTCAAATTGCAATTGTTAATCAATATTTACAATTCATTTAAAAAAATTTTTTTTACCAAAACTTAGCCACAATTAAAGAGAAAATTAATTTGTTCTTATAATTTTGGCTGAATTGTAACTCAATCTTTAAATTTTAATTCGATACAATTCAATTTTTATAATTTTAATCATTTAAAGCTTTAACCTCCGGTTATAATTATAAGAATCAGTTGACTAATTTGAAAAGATTAAGAAAGTAAGTTGAGTTAGTTCTTTGTTCTAAATAGGTGTTGTCTTTCCTAAAATATCCTTGCTAATCAAGTGTATTGACTAGAACTATCATTGTTAGAAGGGATATTTTGAAAAAAATGTATAAATATGAGAGAAAGTGAATTGGGATCTTATACTACCTCCGGTCTTAATTATAAGAGCCAGTTGACTAATTTGAGGAGATTAAGGAAGTAAGTTGAATTAGTTATTTGTCCTAAATATGTGTTATTTTTTCTAAAATATCCTTGCTAATCAAGTGTATTGACTGGAACTATCATTGTTAGAAGGATTGCTTTGGAAAAAAATATATAAATATGAGAGACAAAGTAGATTGTGGTCTTATATTTAGAATTAAAATAAAAGTCAAACATGGTCTTATATTAAGGACCGGAGGTAGTATTTAGGACCAAAATAAAAGTCAAACAGGGTCTTATATTAAAGACCGGAAGTAGTATATAATCTTATTTTTTAAATTATAGAGACAAATATTTCAAATGACTAAGTTATGGACACTGAGTTGTCTACTTGTTTTACCGGGCTACGTAAGTCAAATATTTTTAAATGATCAGATTATATATTTGTTTCTCTTTGTTTTGTTTATGATTTATGAATACCAGCTTTTCATTCAAAAATAAAAGTTCAGGAATTAAATTATTGTTGAGCGAAAATTATAAAAATAAAAAGATTTATTACTCGTTCCGCTCGTGTGTTTCAGGCCCACATATAAATGTAAAAACTAAAACCTTCCTTCCCTTGCCGCCAATCCATAAACCCCAAACCGGACCTCCGCCCTCTGAATGGCTCTTCAGAGTTCAGCTTCTGACGGCGACGGCAAGGCCGATCGCTACACGGTCTTCATCGATACAAACCTCGACACTCACCTGGCTATTATCGCTTACGACGCCGACACTGTTTCTGATCTCAAAAGTAACGCCCTTTTCTCCTTTCTCATTGTCATCAATCTGTTCTTCCCTTAAACTTTGGGTGGTTCTCTGTTCTCAATGATTTAATTCTGCATTTCTTTAATATGAAATTAATTTCAATAAACTAAATTTATTCTGCATTGAGCGTTGGTTCTTGTGTTTACCTCTCTCCCTCTCCCTCTGCTTGGGGGGGGGGGGTTGCCAGCCTTTGTATGAGATTACGGATGAGTTATATCGAGTTGAGTTGTAAATACTTTTTAAGAGTTGAGAGCTATTACGAGCTGCGTTATAAAGACTTACGAGTTACGGTCACCCAAAATGGTGAACCCATGAAGTTGACTTTGTCTAGCTCTGCGCTCTGCATAAGTTGTTAGACACACTTCCATCTATTCTCTGTGCCTGGACATAGGATTATGTTAGCATGGCATGACTTATGTGCTCTTCTTTTACTGTTTGTATAAGTTATGACCTGTTCAAATGATATGTGCCTGCCGTTGGTATGCAGAGAGAATTATGTTGGAACACCCATTGTGCTTTCCAAAGATCGGACACATACAGATCCATGCCATAAAGGTATGCTTCTTGGTCCTATTCCACTGTTGTAAGCATGGTTCTGACTAAATCATATTATTAACAAAACTTTCTACTATGTTAGGTAAAGCGCAAGGGCTACTTTTATCACCTATCAGATTCCATGATGGTGAGAAGTGCCTTTAGTGGGTTCAACAGGAGCTGGTTTCTTAGTATTGATGCATCTGCAGTAACAGAGAATGAAAAACCCCAGATTTCAGATTCTCCTGATTCTACTAACGAGTTAGCTTGTCATGGCATTGCAAATAATGCTTCAACTGGTGCTATTGATATTCCTCTCTGTTATCCTTCTAAAAGGGCATCTGACGTCAACTGTTTCAAATTGCCACAATTAGAGAACGGACACGGTGAAAAGGAAGTTCCTCTTGTTAGCCCACGTGTGTCAGAACATAGTGGAAAAGGGGTTGTTGATGAATTGGAGACAGGTGTCAAACTCTCTGGCGCTGGTGACACTCTGCCAACTGGTTTGATTCCCGCATGTGAGGGAGATGGATTCAGCAAAGGAAATAAAGATGAGAACAATTTATATGATGAAGGAACCTTAAAACCTTTGCCAGGTGCAAAGAAAAAACGCAAGAGTATTGAGGAAAAGGAAGACACAGTACGGGAACATGCTTGTAAGGACAATAATGCTTCTGTTCTGGGACCTGGTATATCAACAGCTGAGCAGGAAGGTAATTTAGTCGCTGAAAACCCTTCAGAGAATGCGAGCAGAGGTGAACTAGGTGGGAATTCAAAGAATACAAGTTTTGTAGTACAGATGTCAAATGATGCAGTTAAGGAAACTGAAGCTCCAAAGGAGCATGCTGAATGCAAGGATAACAGTAAGGAAAACATTGATGGTGAGTATGTCAAGCCCATGGCAGAGCCTTCACGTGAATCTACTTTAAGTAAAAAATATAAGAAAAGAAAGAGATCCTTGACTCTTGATTTAGAAGATGAGATGCAGAAGGTAGACGATGCATGTCAGCAGGCTGATGTACACAGGCCTGATGAAGAGCAAAAGAAAATTGAAGAACCAAGTGAACAGGTTGAAACTAACAATGATAAATCTGGGGGTAGGATTGAATTTCAGCATGATAAGGTATCTAAAGAACCTTCACATGCTGGATCTCCTGCAAAGAAAAAGCGGAAGGGAAAAGAGAGGGGTGGTTTTCAGAGTGCTTTGAAGGAAAAGAGATCTTTGGTTGATGATTCTAATAAAGAGAGCCTGAAGCCAGAGCATGCATCTCAGCACTCTTTGGAGGATTTACCAAAGACTATAGATAGCATTGCTGGCCAATCAACGGAGCAATGTGGTGATGGTGAGCCACCGAGAACCAGTGTAATAACTTCAAAGAGGAAGAGGAAGAAGAACTCATCAAATAATCAAACAGACGCAAGTACTTCTTCCAGGAATGATGATGCAGAGGATTCCAGGATATATGGTGAAGGTGTGCAGGAGGAAATACTCAAAGACGGTCAAATCTCTAGAGGTGCTTATACTTGGTGACTGCTTTGGAAAAAAGTCTGATGCAATTACTTTATTTGAGAGGAATCTAGAAATTAAAAAAAGGACATTTTTATATAGATAAAAGAAACTTAAAAGTTGAAATATATGTTTCTGATTCTAATGTTAACTTTTTCGCTTTTTTAGGTAACAGTGCCAGTAATAATGCTGGTGACAACTCGGAAATCATAACAAACACAGCCAAAGAAGTCACTATGTCTAAAGTGACAAGAACAGGAAATTCTAAGGATCATTGTTCCATTGATGTGAGAATGCATCCTTCTGATTTGGAGGGGACAAAGGAACTAACTGAGGGTAACGGCCTCCACATGCATCAGAAGGTTGACCTTGGCCATTGTCATTTAAGTGATGATAGTCAGACTGTGCCGGCTGAAGAAGGAAGAAACCATCTCCATTAGATGATCCTAAGCATTTGTTGTCTGAAAATTGCATGACAACCAACCATAATAAAGCGCATGCTAACATCATAGGGTTAACCGAGACTTCAGAGGTTCCAAAGGAAAATGAAACTACTGAATGTGGAAAATCAGAGAGGAAGAGAAGGAAGAAAAGAAATGCCAAGGATGCAGATGGAGGATCTTTACTTACAGAAGACTTTAGTCATGTAGATGCTTCTAAGAATGGTACTGTTTTAATGGAATTGGATCCTACCTCTGGAAAGACAACGAAAGAGGAAAATCTTTTAAATCAAACAGCAGGGAAAGAGGTACATCCAGAAGAAATGAACGGGACTTCAGATATTGATAAGGAAGTAGATGACATTAACGTTGGCTCCATGAAAAACATCAGCAAAACTGAAGCTTATGGTGAAAATCCGAGTGAGAAAAGGAGCAAGAAATCAAAGAAGAAACAAGCTTCTACCACAAAAGGTGTGCCAGAAATGCCAACAAAGGATCAAGTTCTTGAAGAGTCATCACCCGCTTCTGACAGCAGACTAACTACGGAACTAACATCTAAAAAGAAAAAGAAAAGCAAGTCCACTAATAAATCAAGTGGACCAATTTTGGAACATGAGAGAGATGTTCAAGCTGAACCTTCCCATACTTCATCAAATGCGCCCAAAGGAAATTACAAATCCCATTCTGGAGCTAATGAAACTGCTATAAATTCAGTGTCTTATTTTGAGCATGAAGATGATAACCACTTGAAAACTCCCACCAAAAAGGACGAGATTAAGGGGGAACAACATATTGCATCTGGGCGAGAGGAGCATAAAGATGTATCAGATGATATTCTTGTTAACAAGAATGGTGCAGATAGAACAGATATGGAGCCAATGACTGGAAAGGGCAGAAAAATGTGCGAGGTAATGAAAAGAAATACTCGTAGTGGGAAATTGAGCTCTGCAAAGAAATTATTGTCGAAGGTGGGCAATGGGCTTGGGATTGATCCTGATGAGAAGGATCCAAATGTGTGCAGAATTGGACAAGAAGCTTCCTTGCCTAGTCAGTCTAATAGTGTCACGTCCACCATTGAAGAAGATAAAAGGCCTCAATTTAAGAAATCTTCTGGGAAAAGTATGAATTTGGAGAAAAATAGTGAAGCTTTTCCTGTATCAAATTGTAAAACCAAAGCCGTAAAGAAAATGGTTCAAAATAAAGCTCGAAAAGCTTCTGGGAATAATCCTGAGGGAGTGGTGAGTCAAAAAGAGCAAAAGAAGAAGTTGTTGTCGGGTACAATTTTCAAGGATGATAGTAGTGGAACCTCTGAAGACAGAGATGAACAAGCTCATGACTCTAGTTCCAGCACTAGAAGTCCATCAGATGTTTCACTCCCGCCTGATTACTCAGGTGATGATAGTGATGCAGGTGTGAATTCTATACAAAGTATAAACTGATTTTTTTTTTGGTTTGGGAGTCTTTCTGTCTGTCGACTGTCTGTATGCGGCTGGGTCCTGAGCGGATCATGGAGGAATAGGTTGAAAATTCAATGACGTCTGGTTTTGGGAATTCTTAGGTTAATGTGCCCAAGGTGTTACTTTCTAAGTTGAAATCAGAGGTAGAAAGTTAGCATTGATTTCTAAAAGTTTTCCAACTAGTCAGAAAGTGCTTAGTATTGATCTCTGAATTATATGTTGTTCCATCGTTTTTTTTTTTTTTGGTTTACGAAATGGATCTTGTTCTATTTCTGTTTTAGAATTTTGATGGGTACGGTTTGGATGGCAATGTTGGAGCAAAGTCCCCCCCACCCCCCCCCCCAAAAAAAAGGAAAAAAAAAACAAAAAAAGGGGAAAAATATCTTGAACAAAATATTAGTACAGCTTCATTCTTGGTTTTCTTCATTTCTTCATAGGACTGATGATTACGGGAACTCAAACTAATCTCTTTTTTTTGAAAAAAAAAAAAAAACTAAATTGCAACAGGTTCACATGGCAGGACAGGACCGGAAACTGGTGGAGAAAGTAGCATGAAATCACGGTTAGTTAGTTAATTGCAAGCATGCAGCTAAAAGTTGGCAGTCTTACACGATTGAATGGCTATTTTCCTCAATAAATCTTTGTGTTTTTTATTTACTTGTTTTTTTGACACGGAAGAAAAGCACATGCAAGTATAGCATGTTGGGTCATCATAAATTTCTACCATCCATAATCTCTGTTAATCATAGCCTCAATTTGCTTGGTCAAGATTATGGTGCTTACGTGCTATGTGGATGACTTATTCAATCGAATGAGCTTTTCACATATTCTCAGTGTCTCAGATCATATTGTTTTCCTAGCGTTGGGCTGGGTATTTGCAGTAGATATTTGTTCCTCCGCCGTAATAAAGAACAATATATTAATATATTTTAGGGGACAGAACTGTTGAATTTTTTTGCCATAGAATTAAGTGTGAAAAGTTTACGCATCATTTCGAGTTACATCATCTACCCTTCTCAGTCACCGATAGAATCTGATTTTACCGAGTCTTTGAGATCATCTGCACTAAAATCAAAATCTACTAAAGTGTGAATGGTGTGATTTTATTTAGGGTTAATATTATTGTTAACCCTAAATATTTTTGGTTCCTGTAGTTTCAAATTGTTGGTTTTAGTCGCTATAGTTTCATAAGGACTTGGTCTGAATTTAAGTATAGGGACAAAAATCAGACTTTATTAAAAGTATAGAGACTATTCGGTAAATTCAGATCAAATCCTCATGAAACTATAAGCACCAAAACCAACTATTTGAAACTATAGGACTAAACCAAAATTCAAACTGTTAAGAACTAACAATGTTATTAATCCTTTTATTTTATTTGCAACTGTAATTGATCAGGAATTTGTGCTAGAGTCAAGATTCTTGAAACTCTTCCTAACTAGATTCTTAACCTCTATCTTTTACATGTTGTTCCTTTATACATTATGCCCTTGAGTAGGTGTTTTAGGGAATTTGCATTGTTGTGTTTTTCGCATACTTCAGAGCGGTATCTGAATCTTTACTTTGGCAGCTTGTCAGTCAAAAAAGGAGTGCCCCTAGATAGCATTCTTAGAAGCTCAAGCAGGTATAAGATGGCTAAACAGACGGCCTCTCAGTTTGAAGAAAGTGAAAGTCAACCTGTTGATTTTGTTCCAGACAGCCAGGCAAACACATAAATGTTGAGATTCCTGTCGTTCTTCGTTTGCTGCTACCGGTGTTTTCTCTGTATTTTCATTGCAGCTACAAGATTTGGCTCATATGTTGGATCATGTAAGAAAAGCCGCCAAAAACTCTTTCTTATGCTGGAGAGAATTTCCTCTTGTCTCGATTCAGCATAGAAAATTTTGTTTTGTTTAAACTCTTCAGACACCATCATGGGTCGATTTTGTGTCTCATTGTTGTGCCAATGGGAACAGATATTTTGGTTTAAATGTACTGAATATAGGTAGAAGGGGATGTGGTTTAGGCTTGGAAGAACTGTTGAATGACAATGCGAAAATGACAATATTTCAAGATTCTGTTAACCCGAAAGTTCCAGAGACCTCTAATCTCGTCCCTTAAAAGTTGTTAAATCCCTTCATTTAATTGGAGACCCAGGCCTAGGGAAAATATATATATATATATATCTTTAGACCGAATCCGAAAGACTCATCCTTAAAATAAATATTATTTTGTAATTTTTGAATCCTATGTAGTGGCCGAAAGAATTTCTAAACATGCACTGTTAATTTTTTAATTATATAATAGACTTGATAAATTTCAATAAATTTTTTAAGAACATTAATTAGAATTTAAGAGCAATCGTTAAATTAAACACATGTTGACAGCTTGAAATGGAAGAGTAGAACTTGTCACTTCTCATGTATTTCTTGCTGGTTATCTTTTTTCCTTCTGCACCTTATCCTACGCGCATCCGTGCATCATGTCTATTAAGAGCCATTGCTGGTATATGAAGGATTAATGGCTCATGTAGTTGGATTACAGGAATCAACATTATCTGCTAATTTATTTGGGTGATGCAATGACAGCTGATTCATTTAGGCGATCCATGGTACTTCGTTTGCCTTTTTACTTTTCAATTAGAAAAAAAGATACGACTTGAGATTATAAATGGAATTAAATTCACCGGCTTCGACTTCCCACTTGTAACTTTTTTTTAATCACTAGACTCGAAGTGATTCATGATTCTTGGTTGGCTTTAGTAATGACAAAGGGATTACATCATGCACTCTAGATTCCCTCAAATTATTGCATTGTTTACATAGCTGGACCTCAAGAATGAAGATCATACCAAAAGACATTCATGCCCTTGATAGAAGGAGCATGTTATCTTACTCCACAAGGTTAAATAAATGACAAGAAAGTTAAAAAGGGTAGTAAGGCTATAAGAGGTTTTTCTTCCCAGAAATTTGAACATCATACTGTTATCTCTAGATCTTCTTTCTATAAGAAGGCATCGCTGCGTCTTTATGATCAAAATCTCAATTCCAAATGGAGCCACAGTTCATGACATAGAATTATATCATGCATGAGCTAGAGTTAAGCCAATTGAGGAATCAACTATGGTTATTCAAGTTCAACATAATCATTTAAACAACTTCAACATTAAAAATTACTATCGAGGTGATCTATGGATCCCGTTGACCAGTCATATTGTTGGCTCTAAAGTGCATATTATTAGAAGCAAAGGCTAAATCCTTGGCACTGAGGAAACAAAACAAAAACAAGACACATTGAAAAGTTGATTCACCATTGAGTTACCTTACAATACAAGTCACAGAAACGAAACTGTATAATTTATACATTCCACAAAAATCCCCTACCACCATCACCATCATCATCATCAACACAAACCAAAAACTCACTGAGATCTCATCCTGTTGAGCTGGTTCAGAGCAGGCTGCAATATGTTATACAAAACCCACAGAATCGCTGGTGCCACCACAAACAGTAGAAGCTGACCCCTGTTGTCACTAGCAGCTTCAGCAATGGATGCCACCTCAGCAGCCGAACTCTCCGGGGTCCACCCCAAGAGCCCAGACCCCACCAACCCACCGAGCCCTAACCCAGCGATCACTCCCTTGGAGCTTCTCATCCGGTTCAGCTGGTTCAGTGCTGGCTGCAGAATGTTGAACAAAACCCAAGCTATGGCCGGGATTATGGGTAGCAACAGAGCTGCCCCTCTGTTATCCCCTCCATCTGCTATTTCAGCTATCTGTTGGGCTGCCAGAGCGGCGTCGGAGCTGCTCAGGGCGGCGAATACTGCCCCGGCAATGGCGGTTCCTGCGAGGGTAGGTGATGGGTTTGTGGGGACGGTGGTGGTATCGGAGGTTAGGCCCTTTGGGAGGTTTTGAAAAGACAGGAGAGGGGTGGGTTTAGTGGCCAGCCTGGTGGGGTTAGGGAGTTTCGGTGAATTGAAGCATTTTGCGCTGGTCATGGCCATTGCTGCTACGGTTGCTGCCATTGATGGACCTGTGAATCAAGCTTGGTGCTATGAAGATGATGGATGATAAACTTGAGTGTTTCTCTCTCTGTGATAATGCAGGAATTGCAGAGAATGAATGGAGGAAAGTCGAATATTGATTTATTTGGTGAAAAAAAAGCTAAGGCCAGGTGTGAGAAATGAGATCCAATAAAACTGAGGTTTGTGGATTCTTTCCTTATCCGAATAGTGTGATTGGTGAGCTAGGAACCTCACATCCTCCACCCCACCCTCCCTTTCTTATCCCTTTTGTTCCAGCGTGACATTGTGCTGCTTCGTACTGGGTTCTGGAAACGACGTTAAAAAGACAAAAGAAATTAGAGAAACGACATGTCGTTTGCATAAACACAAACGAATTGGGCGCCCATTTTTGGACTTCTCTTCACCCCCAATGCTTTGAGCCCAAATCAATATCAGGCCTCGTTACCTGACTTTTTGGGAATAAAGGGATTTGTTAAGCGTAGTGGAAGAAATAGTCTCTTTGATGAACTATGATTCAAATTTATATTGGAAGAAGCATTTATATTTAATATCTAGTAGTGTTTTCAACAGGATTATTTCTAATAAAAAAACATATGCCTTAAAAAGAGACAATAATAATATGTAGCCCATCTTTTTATATATGATTTTAAAAAATTAAAATTAAAATACGATATAATATATATGATTTAATTGAGTTATTTGAATTTATGGGTACAAATTATCAGATTAAATTACTACTGTTGAAATTAAATGTTTTCTTTATTTTTAAAGATATAAAATATTCTAAGAAATCAAAATAGGTTTTCATGATTTCAAGGGCATTTACTTTTTGAGAAAATAACATAAAAAGAAGTTAAAAAATTGTGATATTCCAATTTAGGTATATAAGAGGTCAAAATCCAGGGAGAGGAAAGTGGTACCTGATTTGATATTTTATAAATATAGTCAAATAATTAAAATATTCTCGTATCAGATTTTTTTTCTTTAAAAATAAAAGCTATCAAACTTGTTATTGTCAGTGTATTTCTTGTTATTGGTTGTTTATCACTTGTGATTGCTTCTGACAACTTATTAATAAATAACTTGTCATTGCCAGTACATTTCTTATTATTTGCTTTTAAACACTTGTTATTGTCAGTTCACAATTTGTTAATAAACTTTTTAATATACAGACATTTTAACCTCTTAAGTGCTTGAATTTGAATATTAAAATTTTTAACTATTTTTTATGTTATTTTCCCTTTCTTTTTAATCAATGGACTTGAGACCCATATTGCTGTGGAAGAATAGATAAAATATAATCATGACAAAAAAAAGTCAACGTTGACAGCATTTTGTTCCTCTAAATGAATCTGGACTCCCAATTATAATCTCAACAGTTTGGGAGATTATTTTAGGCTTTGTATACTTCTCAACTAAAGAAAAAGTATGGTTGACTTTTGATTTCACTTTTTCCATTTGCTTGTGTCGTTCTTTGTTCTTGATAAAAAGTTCATGTAGGGAATGATGACTATATTAAACCTTACATTAGAACCCCCTAACCCAGATATATTTATCTTTTATTTGGGAAAAACTATATTTCTATTTTGTGAAAATTAATTTTTTGGTCCTGTGATTTTAATTCGGTTGCAGTTCAGTTCTTAATTTAAATTTAGTTGTAACTCAATTTTTAAAATTTAATTAAATACAACTCAGTTTTTATAATTTTAGCCATCTAAAATTTTAGTCCCTAAATTTAATAAAATATTTAATTTAATTATTTTAATTATATGAACTAAACTTTTAAATGTTTAAACATATATGGATTGAATTGTATCAGGACAAAATTTAGGAACTGAATTAAACCTATAAAAATTGAGTCCGAGTTCAAATTTAGAGATTGATTTAAAAAAACATAAGAGCCAAAAGCTTAAATTTTCCTTCTATTTTAACATAAAGCTAGGGGGCCATCTATTCTAACATTGATGAAGGGAAGGGAAGGGAAAATACACACTAAACCTTTTTTTCCCCAACGAAGTATACACTGAACTTATTTATAATTAAAAGATAATATAACATTTGAAAATAATTTGGTGATTTCAAGACTTCTTGTATTTTGAATTGTGCGAGACTTTGGCAGTGATTTTTCTTTTTGAGATTGTAGCATTAGATTTTGCATAAAATTTTTTTCTCATTATCACAAATCCAGCCACCAAAGGTGATGGTAGTGTTTTTTTTTTTTCCCCAAGTACAGTTAGACATTAAATATAAACAATTATTTTAGCAAGATTTAAATTTTAATTTAGTGTTACGACTAATCCCATTGACAAGGTGATGGTAACGTTACATTTACATATCATAAAAATGGGTGGGTGTGTGTGGGGTGTGTGGGTAGGGGTTCGATCCCCTCTCTTGTAACCGAAAAAAAAAAAAAATGGAGTGATGCGAATGGCCGAATGGCCTGATAGCACCAAAACACTTCTTGCCTCTTGGAAAACGTGGTTGCGGGTTTGAGATGGGCAAGTAAGCATGGGCGTGTGAGTTTAAATTTCGAGTTTGAAAGAAAAACTTGAGATTCATGTCTTAAATCCTGCGAAGCATGAATCTTATGTTTTTAATCAACAACTGTTTTTTTTCATACAAAAAAGTATAGATAAATTAGGAGCCGAAAGTTTATTAGGACCAAAATATGCCTTTAAATTTATAGAGTATTTACAGATTATGAGAGTGTTTGGCAACATCTAAATCATGGTTTCAGAAGCACTTTTTCGTAAAACGAGACAAATTCCTCCACGTATTTACTTCATAAATCGTAAAAGCACTTCTGAAATCATGGTTTAGTTTCTATCCAAACACTTCTTATTTACTGACAAAATCCTCACATCACAACGGAATTCAAACTTATAAACCTTATGAGTTATAAGCCGATTCTTTACAAATTATAATCATTTTTATTGGTATTATCAACAATTGTTAAACTTCTTGAATTATTCAATTGTGGGAACTACTCTCATACGTCCAATATGAATCCGCGTTTGAAAATCATCAATCAAATTGTGAACTTGAGGTCAAATAAGAAAAACTAAATTGTGAATCACATTTTGTAAAGACTAAAATAAAAAAAGAAAGAGCATTTCTACATTTGTTCTCAAAAAGGATATTTCTTGTCAAAGGAAAGGAGATTTTTTTTCCTGTTAGTATTTGTCTTTTCCAACTTTCTTCTCTCTCTTGGCACCGTCCTTACCAAATTTACAAGTTCTAAAACCCAGAAACTCTGGAAAATCCAATATTTGCGCTCCAGAGATACCACACAGACAAAAAGCACTCAAATGCAGCTATAATTCTGTGCTTTTACCTCCATGAATGAATCTCTCTTTTCCTCTCCTCTGCTTCGTCTTCCTCACCACAGGCATCAATAAGTAGTAGTTCATAGCTAGGGTTTTTCTCTTATTCTTCTTTGACCACATGGCGACTCTTGTGCTATTCGCGCCGAACGCAACCTCTTCGCCTTTCTCTTACCGGCCGAACTCTAGGACTAGCCCTCTCCTTCATCGGCCTCACCACCACCACAATCTTTCCCGTTCCGGGAACTTACTTGGACGTTCGCTTTCCGTCACGAGGTTCGCCTTCAAGCCTGGTTTTCTACCTGAACCTCATGGCGCTGAGGACCTGGTGAAGGACTTGCTTAGTCGAGCTGACGCTTTTCTGTACACTATTGCCGACGCTGCTGTTTCATCCTCCGATACGGTGACTACCACTGCCAAACAGAACAACGATTGGCTTTCTGGTATTACCGGTTATATGGAGAGTGTTCTCAAGGTTTGAACTCCGAGTTATTCGACTTTACTGAATTTGCTGTCCTCGTAATTGTGAAATTTGTTGTATTGGAAGCATCAATTGAATAATCGACAGAATAACTGAGCTTAATCCAATAGTTTGAAAGGCAGTTCGACATTTGCCTTGTCTATCTGTTTCTTGTTGTTATTTTCAAAGAAGGAATCTTGGGTTCCCAATGATGACTTTAGGTGGCTCTTCTGACATTAAACTGTAATTCTCTTATGAATCTGTTTCTGCAATCCCCCGTGATCTGTTGTCATGGTCCGATACTCATGTTGAGAAGTAACTTGAACTTTCAGGTATTGAAGGATGGGCTTTCTGCCTTGCACGTACCATATGCTTATGGTTTTGCCATTATACTCCTTACAATTCTCGTTAAGGCTGCTACATTTCCATTGACAAAGAAGCAGGTTTGTCCATGTTGAAATATAAAGCAATGGTGTTGATTTGCTGAACTTGAGTAATTTCATATTTATCATCATTTCATAGTATAAACTTGAATGGCATTGTACAGGTAGAATCTTCCTTGGCTATGCGGTCTCTGCAACCTCAGATAAAGGCTATTCAGCAACGTTATGCTGGTGACCAGGTATTTTGTTTGGCTTCTTTTACTTTCTCAAATGTAACATATTTCATAATTATGATATCGGGAAACGCCTTTTAAAAACTTTGGGATTTTCCATTGAAACCTAGTGAACATGGAAGCTTTAAAGTGACCTAATTTTTGTTTTTATTAGGAAAGAAATGAAGTGGCTACTATACTGCGTGCTAGAATTTCTTTCCTATGACTTCTTTTGATAGCATTTCAACAAACTACCAATGTGATCTTGTCAATCCATATGTCATGCAACCTTTCTTCTTTCAGGAAAGGATCCAACTTGAGACTGCTCGGTTATATAAATTGGCTGGCATTAATCCTCTAGCAGGTATTTCTGAACATAATTTGATTAGAACAAAGTATGAAAAATCAGGATGAGGCTTCCTGTGATTAATTTTGGATCCTAGCTCCTATAACTTTGCTAAAACTATAAACATCATTATATCTCAGATTGGATAGGAACCCTTTGAACGGCTTAGGCAGTGGTTGGCATCTAGCAACACTGTATAAAGCATTAATCTGATGCTCATCAAATTAATTGGTAACTCCTTTTTAAATTTTCCCTTCTCTTTGTTCTAGGATGCCTGCCTACACTTGCAACAATACCTGTATGGATTGGTTTATATAGAGCACTTTCAAATGTGGCTGATGAGGTAGCTTCCTTATAAGTTGATTTGCTATTATATAATCTTCACTTGTTGAGGGAGTTTGTATGTTGCTACTTTCCATGACTGATTTTATATTTTTCTTGATTACGCAAAGGGACTTCTCGCAGAGGGGTTCTTCTGGATACCTTCCCTCGCTGGTCCAACTACAATTGCTGCCCGTCAAAATGGAAGTGGCATCTCTTGGCTTTTTCCTTTTGTGGTATGCCACGTCTTTCGAGGACTTTGGTGTTTATGTATTATGGGTATTTCTTTCAGCTTCATTATCTTTCATCTTCAAATTATCTGAGGTTGAATTGTGATTTTTTTTTAATGAGTTTATGTTTTTAGTATGAGGAATCTTCCTTGTAAGGAACTAATTAATTTAAAATTGGATTGTTTACATCTGATATTTTTTTATATATTTTTGAAGTGCTTTGGGTTGGATCCCAATGCGGAATTTGTTTCATAATGGGTTCCTTTTGCTCTTTCTTTTTTCATTAGGATGGTCACCCACCCCTTGGATGGTCAGATACATTGGCGTACCTTGTGTTGCCTGTATTACTGGTTATCACTCAGTACATTTCTGTCCAAATAATGCAGTCGTCACAGGTTAGTAATGCTGTATGCATAATTCAGTCTGACGGATGCAGGTTCTAAGCTTCATCCTACTTTGAAATGGAAAGAAAAAGAGGTTCCTTTATGTGGGTGCACATTGATGTAGATGAGTTACTCATAATTTTTCATGTTGACTTTCAGCCTAATGATCCCAGCATGAAGAGTTCTCAGGCTCTAACTAAGTTCCTTCCTTTAATGATTGGTTACTTTGCTCTGTCAGTTCCTTCTGGGTTAAGTCTTTACTGGTAAGCGAAAGCGGAAGCCTTTTAGTTTGGCATTATTTCAATCATCTTGTTGTCGCTGCCTATATATTATGTTATCTTATTACAGATTGTTTAAGTTGTGCAGGTTCACAAATAATATATTGAGCACAGCACAACAAGTATGGCTTCAAAAACTTGGAGGGGCCAAAAACCCAGTGATGCAAGTACGTGATAAAACAGTGGATGACAATGTAATGCAAATTCAGAAATCAGTCTCTGAGCTAGAGCCCCCTAAAATAGAGGCCAGTCTAGGTGAGAAATCGACATCAGAGGGACCAAAACCAGGGGACAGGTACATGATTGTAGATGGCCTCATTTTATCATATCGTAGTATATTTTCCACCTCTTATAACATCACTTTACTCCCTTATTTTGCAGATTTAAGCAAATAAAGGAGCAAGAGGAAAAGAGAAGAAGACAGAGAGAAGAAGAAAAAAGGAAAGCTGAGGAGGCAGCAGCTAAAGCAACTGAAGTACACGAGGCAAGGGACAAAAAGACTGAGGTTGGAGATGAGGATGGAGATGATGGAATTGCTGTAAAATCTGATGCTGTGACTGCAAATGATGATCCTTCTACTTCTGGAATTGTTGTGAATGGCAATCCCTCCAGTGAGGGCTTTGGGAGATATCAAAAAGCCACATCTGCATTGCATACAGAAAATAAAGGTTCTGCTGATTACCAGTTCAATGAAAGGAATGAGAGAAGTCTAGAAAGGTATGATTGTATTGATAAAATTATCCTTTTAAATCTGGCATATGAAACACATCTATATGTTGCAAATGAGCCTGTTGGTTCCTATCACAACGTAGGAGAAGAAGGAAGTTGGGGGGAAGTATCAAACTTTCCCTTACTTTTGTATGGGGTTATAGTTTGATTGGCACCTAAAAAGCGTGCCTAAGTTCATTCAAAGTGCATTGATGTGTCTTTTATTTTGGATAGTTTGCTCTGCAATTTTTCTCACTTATTTGTTCATCATTCTTAGAGTCCCATATCATTCTTTTACCATGCTTTTGAGGTATGAGATTGAGATGGTGAGAATATGGAAGTAGATCAGTATACTAAATTATATGTATATTAGATTTTGTTACTTTGATGACAGGAATATTTGGAATTTGAATTCTTTTTACTTTTCTTTCTTGATCAAATATGAAACATTTTTATTGCTTTGAAGTTAATATTTTTACAGATCGTACAGTTCTTTTATGGGCATGAATTGCAATATCACAGGAAACAGAAGTATACACACCTGCTGCCACAGACAGCAAGACACCCGTTGAAGACCCAGATCAAGTGACAAAGGACTGAGAAATTGAGAAACCAGAAGATATAGACATTTTACTGTACCAAAATTGACCGGCCTATTTTCCGACTCAAGAAATTTTAAAAACGCACCCTCCTGTGCATTTTGGAATCCTGGTTACTATTGTAAATCAGAGTGATAGAAATGGTAGTAGTCTTATCAAGAGTTAAGGTTTCTATAATTGCAATACGAAAGTGGTTAGATTGGATGGCTGATTTGTAGCTTCGATGTTGGAGTTTGTATTATATGTAATTTTTTTCCTTCAGTCGCATGAATAAAAAGAAGGATCAATGTGTCCTTATTAGAAACAGATGCTTCAGATTACCTTAGTCAACTTATCACCTTAAGCATCCTAATACGTGCCTTGGTTTTGATCTTATAGAGAGATATTATGTTTCAGGAATTTCCATGACTCAAGGTATTGGTCTGTGACATGACAATGGGTTTTTTTCATAATTTGGCGCAATGTTTTGGGTCATTGACTTGTACTAATTTACACGCTCTGAACTTTCAGGTTTTAGTTCAAGCTCAGCCATGCTCGGGAACTCTGAGGTTAAGGTATTTTTTGAGACAATATCATATAAAAGGAAGCAATGAAGGCTTCCGTAGTTTTAAAGTTTTCTTGTTGGCCAACTCCTTGGTTCTCAAGTTGAATACTTGTTCTTTTACTGCTATAATTTATGTTCTCCTAATTCACCCTGCGCACAGCCACGATAACTTGTGGGCGCCTTTTATTCTTCTTCTTCTTCTTAATATGAAACTCTTGGGGGACCTTTCTGTATCCTATTATTATTTCAGGCTATATGCATTAACTAAGATCTGTTGCTGGTTCGTACTAACTATGGACTAAAGAGCTTTCTCTGGCTATAATGTTTGCTTATCCAAGCATTTAATTGAGTAGCATCTACCAAGAAATTAGAGTAAACCATTTTCGCTTCCTTTATGCAAAAGAAAGAAAGGGCATTTTATTTCCCTGCAAATAAATGCGGAGACTATTGGTCTCATTTCTCTTATTCACAGCCTTGTATTTGGGATCACGATAGCTGTCGTTGGAAGCAGGCGGTTATCAGAGTGTAGGAGCATTGTCGCATCAGACTGCTCTCTCCAATAGGCTCAAAGTTATTTCTCTTCACGTGGATTTTCCCAGCTTCACCATTGATAAGTGCACGATGCGAACGCAGGTAACCTTTGGAAATCGTACAACTCAGTTGGACTTGTGCATTATTTAATCTTTAACCATTCAGAGAGATTCCATGTCTACTTTAGGAAGGCATATTGAACCTGAATGTCAACTGGCATGCTCCATAATTAAAAGAAGGGATATGATTAGGCCGATGTCTGTTTTTTATCCCATTATTAAATGTTATGCTTTGGGAGAGTAAAGAGAATTTAAGTATAAATTTGGTTAAAGTGTATTTTTAGTCTTTTAATTTATACAAAGTTTTAATTTGGTTTCTTAACTTTAAAATGTATATTTTAGTTTTTTAACCTTAGAACTATTGATTAAAAAAAATAGTGTTGAGATTTTGAATGTTGAAAATATTTTTCAACGTTAACATATTAAGTCTAATTTTCAAAATAGCTATGATTATTATAAAAAAATTATTATTTAAAAAAACAACTTAAGATTAAAGATTTAGAAAATATTTTTTTTAAAATTAGGGATCAAATTAAAATTATATATAAAGTTAAATAATTAAATTATTATTTGCATATAAATCATAGAGTTAATAATCTGTAAGTCTTTATAATTTCAACCAATTTTGAATCAGGTCCTTATAATTTTTTTTTCTTTTTATTAGGTCTTTATTCTTTTACATGTTTTTAATTAGGTCCTTGTATTTATTTTTCTTTTATAAAGTCCTTATAATTTCCCTAAATTTTTAATCAGGTCCATGTTCTTTTAATTTTTATTTATTAGTTAAATATAAACTTAATTAATTAGATTACTGAAATATAAAATATTAATAATTAAATTAATTAATATAAGTAATATAATTAATTAATTCAGATAAATTTTTTAGAACAAATAATATTTTCTTGCTGGCAAAAATAAAATTATTATAATAATTCATTATTTTTAGAATATTATTGTTATAAACTAATATTAAATAATATATACTATTTTATGATTATAGAATAGTATTATTAGAATTTATAAAAAAAGAGTAAAAAATTCAGGGATTTAATTAAAAATGAGATGAACTTATAAGGACTTCATAAAAAGAAAAATAAATACAAGGATCTAATTAAAAAGATGTGAAAGTATAAGAATCTAATAAAAAGAAATAAAACTATAGGGACCTGATTCAAAATCGGTTAAAACTATAGGGATTTACAGATTAATTATCCTTAAATCATATTCCATTTGGTTCTTATTATAAGCATGTAATAATTTTGCATGAATTATCTTGTCAATTATAAAATTACTCAATAAAAATCATCAACTAGAAGAGTTTGGTTCATTAGTTAAGAAGTTGTATAATTGTTTTAAACAAAACATGTTATATTATGAAAATATGTTAGAAGCTCGACAGGAGTGTATATTAATTTTGTTATTCTCTTTTATTTGAGGCAAATATGTAAACTTAATATTTAGAGGATATAAGAGGCGTGTCGAGAGGGATTAGAGGAGTCAAGTGTGGACACACGGATTCTCCATATTGTACCTGAGAATAAAGGAATATGCGCATGATTATTTTATTTAGGGCGAGGCTCAACTTAGCCGAGATAATCGACGTTATTTATCAAATTAAAAGCTTAACACGAACACATAAAGTTTGCCCCCTTGTAGGGGGCGTTTGGTATACTCAAAGCGCTTTCAAAAATTATTTTTACGTAGGTTGTATGTCATAAAATTATTTTCGAAATTATGGTTAGTTTTTTCTTAATATATCATGTTAAAAATATAAATATATATATATAAGAAAAAATTCTTAATGGATAATAACAATAATTCAAACACCTGTTTTCAAGGGTTATAGTATAACTGCAACGTCAAGTAATCAAGATAGAGACTTGTGAAACTTGTTTTGATGATATCATCGTGTGGTAAATGCAAAATATGGCATAACAAATCTTTCTCAACACTTTTCTCTCCTTCACAAGGGTCCCATGGATTGGTTGCTGCATAATAAATAGATGCATGGTGATTTAATTATATAGTTATTTAGTTTCATCTGCTATCCAACATGATTTGCTGCATTGTATTTTTGGGAAAAAAAATTAGGTAAATTTTATCTATCACTGTTTCTAATAGTTTTGCCACAGAAATAGATATGAAGATGAAAAGACGTCAATTTCTAAAATTGGCTCTTTAATGGCATAATTGTCGCTCCTCAGTCAACATCAGAAGTCACTGGGGGTCGTCTTTAAAAATATAAATAAATCCTACCAATGATCAAGAAACACGTGTACGGCATTAATTTTATTTCAGCATAATGTAATCCAGTTAAAATAATAATAATAATAATAACAGTTGGATTTAGTTAATTGTAGAGTTACCTCTGGTAAAAAAAAAGTTAATTGTAGAGTTACGTATGTTTAAAAAGAACCAATAGAGGGCAAAAATAGCTTGACTTTACCTTCAAACACGTGTCATATGCTACCTAATTTCTGTGCAGACCAATTTAGTTAGTAAAAAAAGGTTTGTTTCTTATAATATATAACATAGTGAACTAAAATTTAAATTTATATTAAATGATATTTCATATTAGTACTTAACAGTGTTTTAAACATAATTTGTTTCAGCACAAACAAATACTTGTTTATTAAAAAATAATAATAAACAAACAAAACTTCCATTTACACAATTATAGACTTTTAATGTGTTTGGTATTCTATTGGCTTTGATGAAAACCAGCCACTGTGACATTGCTTTGGCTAAAGTCTAGTTTTTGACCAAACCAATGTAATGCCAAGCACATATGTCTGATGCATCATTGTTCTCTCACATGTGCGTGTCGTTCCAAAACAAGTAGGCTCCATTAATTCATAGTTCATACAAACATAACACGTGTCAACTTCGCCCGCATCTCCTCTGTACAGAAACATATGAGGCTAAGCCATAGGAACATGCTTGCTTTCAGTAAACTATATCAAACACTATCCCTTCTCCCCTCATCTGCCATTCTTTTTTTTCTTTTTCATTTTCTATTAAATGAAACTTGGAGACATACTTAAATCATGGGAAAGTTCCGTTGAAATGTGTGAGATTGGCCTAAGTATTGAAGCCAACACACAACACACACTCTCTCTCTATATATATGGAATTCAGAAATTCTTGCATAAATCACCTTTTTATGATAAGGTCTCTTGGCTTGATTCACAGATTAACAAATTATCCAACACCCTGAATTTATTATAACAGAAACTTTCCATCCATTTCTTGTTGGTCAAGCCTATGATGCGTGATTTTTCTGCACGAGAGCATCTAAACCCCATTCTTATCCTTGAAATTCGATACAACCTTGAGAAAAAAGAAACATTATAGTCTAAAACATTTGATAAAGGGATAATGAAACTCTTGATCCCTCAAATCTATCACAATCATCAATTTGGTTCCTAAAATTTATTTTTATCAGTTTTTTTTCCTCCTAAGCACACTTACCGAAATCCTAATCGAACTAAATGTGGCCATAATTCCTAAAGTTTTCTCCACAATTTTATATTTCATTTGATCTCATCAGAATAGTTTTTTTTTTTTTTTTGCAATTCATGAAGAGGTTGTCATCTTTGAGTTAATGATTGAAATGTATGTTAGCATTCATTGTTTTCAAATCATAAGGCTAATGTGTAACTTTCAAGATTTCATTATGAAATCAAATTTCATGGACCGAATTAGGAACCAAAGCAAATGTAGAGACCAAAAGTTTCATTATCCTTTTAATAA